TTTTTTTGAAGTCTGCTTCAGCGGTGAATATTTAGAAATCTGTGAAACCCGTCATACACCTTTCCCCTGCTCTGGCATGTCATACTCTATCCTGCCCTCCACATATTTCTTTCCTTCCCGTTGCCCCTACCTCCCCTGCCCCATACTCCTAGAGAACTCCGCCTTCTATCCCTTACCCTCCACCTGCCCTCCACTCCCTTTGTACTACTCACAAATACATATGAATGAGCATCACTAAGAGTATAGACGATATGAAGATCAGAAATGAAATGAATGGAAGTATGAAGATGAAGGACAGACACAAAGGCTGTATAAGCTGAAGATCTGAAGTGAAATGAAGAGGAGTATGAAGCTCTGAAGAGATGCACGGGAGCATACCTTCCCTTTTACTCTGCCTCCTGAAATAACATGCAAGTGGGCCGTGGAGGCACACGAGAATGTGGGCAGCTGCCGCTCAACCACAATCAATGTGGGCAGCCTTGTGCGTAAGAGACGCAATAAAAGGGGAGCTGCAAGAACAATGAAAGGGGTACCCCAAGGACAACCAAAAAACTGTCTAATTATAAAATTGCTTTAATATGTTGGACATCTCATATGCTCTCGTTGTCTGCAATAGGATAAAGACTGCTTTGATTCTGAATCTATTCACCTGGGTGGAATTGGGGCTGTTGTGGGGAAAATCTAAAACACACACAACACACACACACATGGAGGTAACACTGTTTCCTTGCTGGATTGATTCATCTCAAGCATACTTCATCTTCTACAGTAGAGGTAAAGTTGCTGCGATTTTGGATCTACTCATCTGGGTGGAACAGGGGATGTTGTGGTGAACATTCACCACACACACACACAAACACACACACACAGGGTGTTTTAAGCAGTATCCCTCCTGGTGTCGCGTGAAGATTTTGTGGTCTTTTGGGTTTATGGTACTCTATACACTCCAGAGGCTAGAGAGCAGATGGGGACTGTCTAGCCATGGAGTGACAGAGATAGTGGTGGTGTGAGTGCGTTGTTTTAGAGGAAATCTGAGTGCCAGTGCTGCTGTGCTTGTAGGATGACTCGGAGGACTCTCCAATTTTTTTTGGACTATGCTGCCTCTGGCCGGTGCTTTCTGTGTTCGGTATGTTGTCTCTTCCCTTTCGCTATGTTTATATAGATTGATCACCGATTTACATTTGTGGGGCCAGCGATTGAAAGACCGAACTGGCGCTCTTGCAACTTTGTGGCCTTGCAAATGTAAAGTCGCACAAAACCCCATTATCTCAGTATTTCTTGCCTTAAAAACCAAGTGGAGTTTGATTCACAGGGAAGTACCTGTGCTTGATTCTTTGTCGACCCCAGGTAGGGTGTCTATGGAAGACCCAGACGCAGTGTTATTGAAATATCCCGGGAATTCATATGGTGGAAGAATGCAGAGCATTCCAGGAGTAGTTTTGGTAGTTTTCCCAGTAATTCTGTCCCAAGGCAGCCATAAACACGGGGCTTGGCCGACCGGGCAAAAAAATATAAAAAAAGAGTGCACATGCGGTTCGATGGAAATAAGGCTAAACCATACGGTCGTTGAAGGAATTCATCTCGTTTCCTTTGTTGCTTCTCAGAAGTTTAAACAATGGTGTCCTTTTGTAGCCACAAAATTATTGCCACGAGGCGTATTTACTATTTATTAGTGACTTGTGTCCAGATTCCTTTGTTTGCCCCTGTTCTCTTATGCGTGCTTACCTCATTTTCTCATGGTGTGTATATGGTTGGCAGATGAGTGCTGTAAGAATCAAAATCTCGGAGCGAGGCGATTTTGTACAGGGAACAAACAACAGGTGATGTCCTGGTCCTCTGGAACAGAGGCAGGGTGAAACATTTTTGCATTGAGCATTCTCTCAAGCATGTGGTTCTGGCCCTGCCTTTTTCCCTAATCTCTCTCTCTCTCTCTCTCTCTCTCTCTCTCTCTCTCTCTCTCTC